TCACTCCCACTCATAAGCAGTCCATCCTTCTTTGTATTTACTCTCCTGAGACCTCAAGAGCTCAAAAACAGAGCTGGAGTTCACCCCTCCTCTATTTGCTATCTCTAATCCTCTCTCTCATGGTGAACCCATTTCTGAGAGGTGGGGCAGTCTCCACCCTTATCTGCAGTCAGATGCAGAAAGCACCACATACCTGCTGAGTTCCTGCTCTGTCCGGTGCCATGCTGGGTCCCTTCCATGTGTGCACAACCCCACTTATTCTTTCCTCACCACTACTCAACTCAGAGGGTTAATTTTGTCCTCACTTTTCCTCTTCGGAAAGAGTCTCAGAGGCTGGGCCAACATTCACCGGCCAGGATTTGACCCCACCCATTTCTACCTAGGCTGCCTCTGAGATGAGGGCTGCCCCACAGGAGTCTTGTGATGAGGCTCCTTGGACAAGGAGGAGGGGGTGGTCCTCAGAGGCATGGACCACCCAGGATAATTATCTTTTGTCTCCTCTGAGTGGCCCCCTGAAACCTTCCTGTCTCTCTAGGATCTGTGGGTAGGCATGAAGGTTCAGTGGTTTGTGAGGAGCCAAGGAAACCACCACCCTCTCTGGGAAGAGCCTCCAATGGGAGGGGATTTGGAGAGGACAGAGAGTCTCTGACATGGGCTGTTCCACACAGAGAACAAGAAAAGTTGGATAAACCCTTTTCCTGCTTGGACAAGGATATGACAGATGTCTCAACAGAGGCCTCCAGCCCAGCCCCTGCTCCAAGCCTGCCTTACCTTCGGGGGGGGGGGGGGTCCCATAGCCTCTACAGAGGGCATCCCATTTGGTGCTCACCTCAACCCTAAGAAGTACCATTATTCCCAATTCTCTGGTGAGGAACCTGAGGTCAATGAGGACCACTGACTTGCCCAAGGCCATGCAAGTGTCAGGTCTAGAGATCAACCTACTGTTCTCTGACTCTAAAGACTGCTCAAAATCATCAAGACACAGAAGACCTGGTTTTAAGTAAAGTGGAACAAGGGGTGAAGAAGAAAAAGAAACACCTCAGGCATTTAAAGGAATCAAATCAGGGAGGAGCAAGCCCAATTACGGGTCCACGCATCCCACCGGAGCCAGTTGAGCCAGTAGCTACAGGACTCCATCGGAGAGTACTCGCCCTCTCTGTTCTGCCTCCCTGGGATGCTGTTTCTCCCCTTGGGCAGCTTCCCCTCATGGTCAGGACAGGGCCACCAGCATCAAATGGAGCAACTCGCTTCCCTGTTTCATATCCAGCCATGGGCAGAAAGTTCACCCTCTCTGTGGAAGAACTTGTCCACTCAGCCATCTGATAGGGTCATCTCCCATCCAGTCCCCTCCCAGACCAATGACGATGAGCAGAACTAGCACTGCTGATGAGCTGAGAGCCATCAGTTTTTGTGGCAGGGAGGAGGGCCATACAGGAGGCAAGGGGAATGACCATGATGTTTGATGTTGCAACTTTTGAAGGAGACAGGCTTCACACGGGACCCAACAAGCTCAGCCCTCGTTTTGCTTGTTTTTCCTTTAGGAAGCAGAGGAAATGAAACTTGGAAAAACCACCTCTGCCCACTTCTCATCTCACTCCTGCCCTAAGTGGACATAATGAGGCTTCTCCATCATCTCAGGATCACCAGCCAGATGCCCCGTGGTGTACCTCCTGTCTGAACACACTATTCAAGGTGTAACCTGCACTCGAAACTCATTCCCAGATCACTGCCAACTTTCACATACAAACCCATTCTGACCTCCAAAAATATAATCAAGGCCACGCAAAACAAAAACCCACTGCCCATGCAAAATGGGCACATCTTGTCTTTTCTAACTTTGAAGAATGTAAAAACTAACCCAACATTAGCAAATTTCTCTTTAAACCTATCTTCCTACAAGAAGAGATTTGTCACTCTTCTGCCCCAGATTCTCCTCTAAGTCCTGTCTGCTTACTGAGGGGATACAACTTTTCCAACACTAGGCACAAGGCTGTTGGAAAACAGAGAACAGAGTCCCTGCTGCCTCTTCCAGCAAAGCCTCTCACGGAGGCAGATGAAGAGCCATCCTGGGGACAGGAGACAAACCAAAGGGCTGACCCAAACCTTGATTCCACTCCTCAACAGAAATGACCCTGGTGGCACCCTCTAAGCTTGTGGGGCTGAAGGCTGATTATAAACCTGTGATCATTGGAAAGAAACTTGTTACATAGAAAAGGCAATCCCTATTGGACTTTTAAGGTTCTGCATCAACAACTTGGGTCACGCTGTTTTCAGCATGCCTACTCCCTGGCATGAAGACCCCAGAGAGGGGAGGGGTCTGTCAAGTAGTATGGACCAGACCACCCTTGTCTCAAGTTACCTGTCAATCACTTTGCCCCAGAGGAAGGTTGGTTGGGTGCAATGGAGCAGGAAAAGTAAGGAGCAGGAGAAGGCAGGGGAGGACACACATGCTCACACAGAACAAGGCTTTGGGACTTGCAACACATGGAAAGGGCACCTGCCCAGAGCTCCTATTCCAGTAAAGAGGCAAGCTCTGAATAGATCCCCAAAGCAAACCCCTCCTGAAAACATCTGCTGAGGCCTGGATCCCTGGCCCATGGTAGACAGCTGTGCCCTTGAGTCATTCATGCAAAGGTGCTTAGATTCTTTCCTTTATTCTCTTAAAAAAATAGGCGTTTGTTAGTTGTGGACAGGCATGACTTGGAATTTATTTAATGATCAATATGGCACATCCACTGACCAAGCAGAACAGATGCCCACCATAACACCTCCCTGACACAGGTGCCATAGAAGGGCCTCCTTAGCTTCTGGCTGACTTCACCTGAGTGAAGGTAAGGTGGGTGAGAGATAATCTATATTTGTCTATGTCACTCCATATATATATCTACCTACGAACTTGAGTCCAAAGTCTTAACAGGACATGAAGAGAATCCCAACAGACGGTCATCTAGCCTTGCTTAAAAATCCCTGCTTCCACTGGTTTTGCCCAAAGGGCTCCAGAGAGGAAGAGCAACCTCAGGTGGATAACAGAAGACTCTGCCCCGGAAGCCAGAAGCACCTGGCTGATCTCCCACATCACCTGAGTGCACTCAATCTGAGCTAAGTGCAGGCGTCGGGACACCCAAAAGACTACCGTGGTCTTCCACTCTTCCCTTGGTGGTGATCAAGAATTCTTCCCAGGCCACACAGCTCACACTCACCTTCCTTTAGCCCCTAGGTGTGAGATGGTTTTAATTCCTCAAGACTCAATTTCCTCATCTGTAAAATGGGAATGATAACCTCCTTAGGGCGCTGTGAGAACTAAATGAGCTAATGCACATAAAGTACCTAAATAGGCCTCAAAACACATCAGCTGTCAGAATCACATTTCACTAGGGTTCCTCAGATTAACGATGAATTAAACACAGGTACCAAGTCAGCCATACAGCTCCAAGCCAACCCTAAACGGACTGAACCCCCAATGGCTTTGGTGGCACATTCCCTGTCCCTTCCAGGTTCGCTCAATCTTCCTAAAGACTTATTTCCCTTCCCCTGGGAAGAAGGCCCCCAAGCAGGCAGTGCCCAGCATGAAATTAATAACTTCAACAACCACCACCTCCAATCTTAAATGTTGATGGAGTACTAGAAACTATTCTACATTTCCTCGTTTAATCCTCAAACCCACATGAAGAGGCTAGCATAGTACCGTAGTACTATCCCCATCCACAGATGCAGAGGCTAGAAGGAGGGAAGTAAATGATTCCCAAGGGCCTCAGCTTGCATGGAATGAAGTCAGGATTTGAACACGGAGCATGTCAACACTACCCATGCTAACAACTCAGGCACCATTTGGCCTTCATCTTCTCGGACTTCCAGGGCACAGAAATTCAAGGGTTGCGATTATCACATTTTTTTCCTCTGGGCACCAGATTTTAGGATCCAACTGGTGTGAGGCACAAAGCTCCACAGTGACTCAGCCAGGAAAAGCGTGATAGAACATAGTGAGAAAGCAACCATCTGCCAGCCAAGGAGAGGGGCCTCAAGAGAATCCAAACCTGCCAACACCTCGATCTTGGGTTTCTATCCTCCAGAACTGTGAGAAATAAATTTCTGATGTTTGTCATCCAAGCAGTGGCACTTTGTTATGGCAGCCCAAGCTGATACCAGGTACCAGCCAGGTACCACCAGACTGCTTTCCTGCCAGGACTCCATCAGCGTGAGCTTTAACCTGGGCATCTAGGGATCCCTGGGTGGCGCAGTGGTTTGGCGCCTGCCTTTGGCCCTGGGTGGCGCGATCCTGGAGACCTGGGATCGAATCCCACGTCGGGCTCCCGGTGCATGGAGCCTGCTTCTCCCTCTGCCTGTGTCTCTGCCTCTCTCTCTCTCTCTCTCTCTCTGTGACTATCATAAATAAATAAAAATTAAAAAAAAAAAAAGAGGTAACCTGGGCATCTGGCCGCCAGGTTACAGGGCCCACCCCTGGCTTCACTCTCCCCACTGGCTCTTGGCTTCAGTGAGCATGTGAGTTTGGGCCTCCCACCCTAGGCCTAGAATTCCTGGAGCTTTTACTTCTTATTAGACCATGAGGCCCTTATGCATGGCTTTTCTGTGCCTATGTCTGGAGCTGGCCAGGGCCCCCAGAAGTGGAACCTGCACCCAGCCCTGGGTGACCAGCCACAGAAGGTGAACCTCCATGGCAGGCAGCCTCTTGTCCAGCTGCCTAGCTCTGTGTCTGCAGGTGTGGCAGCACCATCGACACCTTCCTCCAGCACTTCTTCAAACAGAGGGGATCCTAGAAAGGTGGATGCATGGAGTCCACAGGATTCTAATAATATTTAGTTGCTCTAGGAGCTGAGTGAAGCAGTTTTGGGGAGCAAGCTGGCAGCACTCTTCTATCTGCCTCATTTCTAAAGGGCTTTTTTTAGGCTTTTTTTTTTTTTAATCTCTTATTTCCCTTTCTTTTGAAAACAACCTGACACAAGGCCTTCCTGTTAATAGTAATAATAGTGGTAATAGGATACCTGAGTGGCTCAGCAGTTGAGCGTCTGCCTTCAGGTCAGGGTGTTATCCCAGGTCCAGAGATTGAGCCCCGCATCGGGCTCCCTGCATGGAGCCTGCTTCTCCCTCTGTCTAAGTCTCTGCCTGTATCTCGTGAATAAGTGAATACAATCTTTAAAAAAAAAAAAAAGAAAAGTTTTAATAGTGGCAATTCAGCAGACCAGACCAGAGTCTTCAGCCTCTCCCTGATACTTGGCTCGTGGCTGAGTACCCAGTGCCCAGCCAGGGAAGGGCCCTCTGTTACGCTTTCAAAATGGAGAAATGAAACAACTCTTAGCATTAAGAATGTACTGACAGTAGTCTACCAATGGCAGAGTGAAAGCTCTGACAGATGCCAGGCCCTACATATGCAGCAGAGAGGACATGGGACACCAGACAAAAATGGAAGTGATCAATCAATCACTATCCTGACTGGCTCAGGAAAAGAGGATGCTGGCTTCTGGGCAGGGGATGGAGGTTAATGCTACCACCAGCTTATTGAGCACCTACCATATGCCAGGCACCATCCTAAGCCCCTTTCCCTTTTCCCATAAGCCTCACAAAAGCCCTCCAATGCAGATACTAGGGTCATCTCCAATATCTTTTAAAATGAAAAACCCCAAAGTTTAGTGAAGTTAAGAAGCTTACTTGGGGTCTTACAGCTCAAGTGGGGGCCCCAGGATACAAACCCATGTCTGACTCCAGGGGTCTTACTTATCCACAAGTGCTTCAGACTCAGTAGTCAGTGACAGAGAAGCAGGGCAGACGTCAGAGCAATGAGTTTTTATCATTCAAGGGCAGAGCAGGTGTGGATGGCTGTGGAAATAAGAGACCCATAGGCTCTTGACTGTAACTTAGTAACCCAAGGCTTCCCTTGTGTAATTACTGCCCACCCAGCCAGGCAGAGATGCCCAGTGGTGGCAGGCAGCTCAAGGGAGCTGTAGCCACTCTCCTGCCCCAAGGAAAGTCTGGTAGTACATGGGGGTGATCATTATTCCAACTCTCCCTGGTGCTGTGCTGAGAGGGCTAATCCGCCAATTTAAAATTATAAAACCACCTATTTTTAGAGCTAAAAGTACCCTTAGAAATGATTTGTTCCAACTCTTTATAAAAGAGGTCGAGAGGCATGGTGTGAGCTCTCATGGGTAGCCAAGATTAAAACAGAGGGAGCTCTCAGTCCAGAGCTCCTCCTCACACCCATGGCCCAGGGGTGGCCCTCTTCCCAAAGGCAGAAATCAGGCCCAGAGAAGTACAGCTCTAGAATGCCACCCAGCCCCCTAAATACCACTTCTCACTTCCCCAGCCCTATGGCCCAGTGATGAGAGCCACAGGGGCCACAGGGGTGCCTCTTCCTAACACCTCCTCCCCAAGTCTCACTCGGCCTCATCCAATCTCAGGCATGGAGAGGAAGCACAAGCAACTAGGCCATAGAGTCCCGCCTCCTCTCCAAGTGGTGGGAGAAGACCCCCTGCCAAAACACTGGAGGCTGCCCCTTGGTCACAGCTGAGTCTCGAGAACCATGAGGACCACAGGTGGCAAAGGAGAAGTCAATGGCACTGGTTCTGGAGCTGAGATACCAGAAGTGAGCTCCTATTCTGTCACTTAGCAGCTGCATAACCCTAAGCCGCAACTGCATAACCCTAAGCCAATTCGATTTCTTCTTCTTCTTTTTTTTGACAGGCAAAAAATTGTAAATAATTAGTGTGTATAACTTGATGTTTAGAGATAGGTATACACCTCTGAAACCATCACCAATAATATATGCCATAAACCAATCCATCACCTCTGTAAGTTTCCTCCTGCCCTCTTCTTTATTATTTTTTGTGTTAAAAACACTTAACATAAAACCTACTTTCTTAGCACATTTTAAAGTATATAGTACACTAATGTTAATTGTAGGCACGAAGCTTACAGTAGATGTCTAGGACTTAGTCACCTTGTATACCTGCAACCTTATATCCTTTGACTAATGCCTCCCCATTCCTCCTCATCCCAAACCCTGGCAACCTCCATTCCACTCTCTGCTTCTAGGAGTCTAACTAGATCAAACTGATAAGTGGTATCATGTAGTATTTGTCCTTCTGTGGCTGCATGAGCTAATTCTTAACCCCTACAAACCTCCATTTCCTGATCTGAAAAACCAACATGATTATACCTACTTCACAGGCAAAACACAATGCCTGACGATTATTTTTACAGTATTGTTATTATCATAATGATGCTCTACCACCCATTCAGTGGCTCTTCTTCTATGCCAGAAACAGTGCTAAGTGCTTTAGATGAACAATCTCATTTATTCTCACCTACAAATCTAAAATAGGTGCTATCAATTTCATCCCACATTTGAGGAACCGTGCTCAGAGTTGTTCAGTGAATTGCCCAATGTCACACAGCTACGAAGTGGTGGGGCTGGGATTTGAACCAGGTCTACTCCTAAGCCTCTGCTAACATCTGTGGGCTATGCCTTTCATGTTCTTTATTTTATCCAATTTAAAAAAACCTACCAGTGTTAGGCAGGTCCTAGGGGGAGCGTATCCACTGACAACCAAACTGAGAGTGCCACAGACCCTTTGGGAATGGAGCATTTGGTAATTTAATTTTCCAGTTAGCTCCATATTCACTAGAAGCCTTGTTTACTGCTCAATATTTTCTAAACCCTGGCTCAGAGCACGAACTTGCCAACCTGAAGGACAGTTTGAAAACTGCTCTAGCTTCTCTGTCACTGACATATTAAGGCCCCCAGGATGCTCATGTGGCCACAATGTGGTGTGGGGGAACTCAGTCACCAGCACCCCATCCTCCTCTTTGCTGAGGATCTCCACTCTCTGCTTCTCTTCGCACTCCTGGGGCCCAAGGCTCAGGCACTGATGCGCTGGCCATCACTGGGGAGAACAGGACCCGTGCTCTTTTCTGGCTCTGTCACTAACTGGGACTCAGATGCCTCATCTGTAATGTGTGAAAGAATGAAATGGAAGATCTCCAAGATCCATAAGAGCCAGAGAGAGCAGCTAGGTGCAGTACAAAGAGGGTCCTGGATTCCAATCTCACTTGTAACACTATCTTAGCAACCACAAGTGCTAATATCTGCTGCGCATCCACTGTGTACCAATACTGGACTGAGAACTTGCACAGCATTATCTCATTCGATCTTCACAGCAAGACTGTGATGAAGGTACTTTTATTCCCATTTTCCAGGAGAAGAAACAGAGACTCAGGGAGGGTAAGGGACTTGCTCCAGGGCATACACCTAGTAAATGAGCGTCAGGATTTGAAAGCCCAGCACATGTAACAGTAAACATTTGGTGAATGAACCCTGTTTTGTCTGTGCTCCTAGCCACTAAGCCCATAACCAAGCTCACCCCATAACCTTTCTGGTGCTGGACCTTGCTCTCCCCAAGAGTATGCTCTGACAGTTGGCTGTTATAAAGTAAGCAGACCCTAGCCGGGCCACCAACAGGTGCAGGGCCCTGGCCCGAGCACCCTAGATCTTAGCAGAGGATCCTCATCAGTGACCAGGAGACAGAGTCTACACATGGAAGGGATCAGGTGTCCGGTGGGTCCCTCTACCCTGACACTGTCAAGCAGGCCGTGGCAGGCTCTTATCACGGGGCACACAGTAAATATCCTATGGAGCCCCAAAGAGCCCAGGGATCAGCTGCAGGCCTGCCCAGGTACTGCCTTCCACAGGAGTTCGGGAGGCCCAGGCCCCCTCCACCACCTCGCTGGCTCCCTGCCAACCGCACTAATCGTCTCCCGAGCAAAAGGGAGTGAGGCTCGCTGCCAGTGCCAGCCGGGGGCTAAGGGAACCAAGGGCGCGCCAGGGGGCAGCGGGACCCCGAGGGTCCATCTCCCCTCACCCCGCCCCCATCCCGCGCCTCCTCCGATCTGCATCACGCGTCACTTCTTGGTTCTGCAAACTTCCCGGGCTCTCCTTCACCCGAGGGCCAGCGCTGCCGCTGGTTCCTCCCGGGGGGGTCCGGGGCCGGTCCCTCACTCCAAGCCCAGCCCCGAGCGCGCGCGTCTCACCTGCAGCCCCGCAGGCCGGGCTCCGCGGGGCTGAACGTCCCGGCGGGCCCTCCGCGAGGCCGGCCTTGGCCCCAACAGCCGCCGCTGCCGCCTCCTGCGCCCGCTACGAGACCGGGAGGCCCGGGCATGGAGGGCAGGTCCCGGGGCGCCGTCCCGCTCGCCGCCGCGGGGCTCGCGGGTGCCCGCCGTGCGCCTGCCTGGCTGGCGAGCCCGGCGCGGCCGCCCTGGCACGTGCGTGCGCACGCTCGGGGGCTCCGCGGCCCCAACCCCGGCCAGAACCACCCCTCGGCTAGCGGGATTCTGGGAATTGCAGTTTTCCTGGAGAACAGCCCATCCCTTCAGCCCACGGAATCCTGGAAGTTGTAGTTTCTTCCCGCGACAGGCGCAGCTTTACTTGCTGTTAGATTTATACGATTATGGGATTCCTGATGATAAATGTAAATACAAGTTAAGCCGACAATCAGATGTCATTTATAAAATAAAAGTGATTAATATATCTCGTTCTAAAAATATCTATTGCCACAAATACAAGTAAATTCAAAAGCACTATCCAGTTCCCCTCACCCACCCCCACCCCATCCCTTCCCATCCCATCTGGACCCTCCTAAAGGGAAAACATTCCCAACTCTTATGGTTGCTGCATCTGGCATTTACTGTCCACTCTCAAAATATACATATGCTCCTATTTCTTGATTTATGAATTCTAAACCCCTTGGCTTTTTACTAGGATAGATGAAAATTCAACTCATTTAAATATGTGCGCCATGATTACCTGCACCCTCATTGAGTTATGAGACATTTCTTTTTTTTTCTTTCTCCAAATTCTTATTTAAAATCCATTTAGTTAACATATAGAATAATATTAGTTTTAGGGGTGCACTTGACGGGATGAGCACTGGGTGTTATTCTGTATGTTGGCAAATTGAACACCAATAAAAAATAAATTTACTATTTAAAAAATAAATTAAATTAAATTAAAAATAAAAAATATTAGTTTCACGTGTTGAATTTAGTGATTCATCACTTACCTACAGCACCCAGTGCTTATCACAAGTGTACTCCTTGATACCCATCACCTATTTAAGCCACCTCCCCACCGACCTCCCCTCCAGTACCCCCTCAGTTTATTCTTTATAGTTAAGAGTCTGTTTCTTGGTTTGCCTCTCTTCTTTCCCTCCATGTTCACCTGTTTTGTTTCTTAAACTCCACATATGAGTAAAACCATATGCTATTTGTCTTTCTCTCACTGACCAATTTTGCTTAGTATAATACTTTCTAGTTCCATCCATGTCATCATAAATGGCAAGATATCATTCTTTGTTATGGCTGAGAAACATTTCATTGTATACATATACCACATCTTCTTTATCCATTCATCAGTCGATGGGCATTTGGGCTCTTTCCATAATTTAGCTATTATTGATAATATTGCTATAAATAAACATCAGAGTGTATGTATCCCTTTGGATCAGTATTTTTTATCCTGTAGGTAAATACCTAGTAGTGCAATTGCTGGATCCTAGGGTAGTTTTATTTTTAACTTTTTGGGAAACATCCACACTATTTTCCAAAGTAGCTGTACCAGTTTGCATTCCCACCAACAGTGTTAGAGGGTTCCCCTTTCTCTACATCCTTACCAACACCTGTTGTTTCCTGTGCTGTTTTAGCCATTCTGATTGGTTTTAGGTGATATCTCATTGTAGTTTTGATTTGTGTTCCCTGGTGATGACTGATGTTGAACATCTTTTCATGTGTTTTTTTAGCCATCTGTATGTCTTCTTTCAAACACTCTCTATTCATGTCTTCTGTCCATTTTTTAACTGGATTATTTGTTTTTGATGTTGAGTTCAATAATTTCTTTACATATTTTGGATACTGACCCTTTATCAGATATGTCATTTACAAATAACTTCTCCCTCTCCCATTCCATGAGTTTCCTCTTAGTTTTCTTGGTTGTTTTCCTTTGCTGTGGAGAAGCTTTCCATTTTGATGAAGTTCCAACAGTTTATTTTTGCTTGGTTTCCCCTGCCTAGTAAGAATTTGCTACAGTCAATGTCAAAGAGTTTACTGCTTGTGTTCTACTCAGGATTTTGATGGTTTCCTGCCTCACATTTAGGTCTTTCATCCATTTTGAATTTATTTTTATGTGTGGTGTAAGAAAGCGGTCCAGTTTCATTCTTTTGCATGTTGGCTATCCAGTCTTCCCAACACCATTTGTTAAAGAAGCTGCCTTTTTCCCACTGGTTATTCTTCCCTGCTTTGTTGAATATTAGTTGGTCATATAGTTGTGGACTAATTTCTGGGTCTTCTATTCTGCTCCATTGATCTATGTGTCTGTTTTTGTGCCAGTACTATACTGTCTTAAGGATTACAGCTTTGTAATAGAGTTTCAAGTCCAGAATTGTGATCCCTTCAGCTTTGGTTTTCTTTTTCAACATTACTTTGGTTATTCGAGGTCCTTTTTGGTTCCATATAAATTTTAGGGTTGCTTGTTCTAGCTCCGTGAAAAATGCTGGTGGTATTTTGATAGGAATTACATTAAATGAGTAGACTGCTTGCATAGCACAGACATTTTAACAATGTTCGTTCTTCTAATCTACAAACATGGAATGTTTTTCCATTTCTTTGTGTCATCTTCAATTTCTTTCATCAGTGTTTTATAGTTTATGAGATATTTCTATCAAACTGGTTAAACTTTGCTTTTTATTTTTAATTATTTTAAATGATAAGGCCCCAGTGTTGAGGCACTAAAACTTAGTAAATTTATGCAGGGCCATTTGACAATACAGTCAAAAGCCTTTAAAACATGCAGACTGGGTGGGGGGACTGGGTGACTCAGTTAAGTGTAAGACTCTTAGTTTTGGCTCAGGTCATATCTCAGGGTCTTAAGACAAGCACTGTGTGAGGCTCCACACTTAGCTTGAGGTCCTTTCCTCCTCTCTCTATCTTTCCTTCTGGTTCTCCCCCTTTCCCTGCCACTTGCTGTCATGCGTGCTCTTTCTTTCAAATAAAAAAATAATTTTTAAAAAACATGCAGACTTTTAACCAAGAAATTCTTATATTTGTGGATGAGTGCAAAGGCTAAACAGTGTTGTTTGTAATCATAATAAAAGACTAGAGTAGCCATATTAATTTCAAATAAATTATAATCAAGAACAAGTAAAATTACTAGGGATAAAAAAGGGGGGATATTATGTAATGACAAAAGGATCAATTAACCAACAAGACACAATAATCATAATTGTGAATGTACCTAATACCAGAGCCTTAAAGTAAATGAATCAAATACTGATAGAACTAAAAGTAGAAATAGACAAATCTGAATGATAGGAGGGGACTTCAACGTCCCTCTCTCAACAACTGACAGAAAAACTAGACAGAAATTCAGCAAGAATATAGAAAAACTCAACAAGTGGTGCCTGGGTGGCACAGTTGGTTAAATGCCTGGCTCTTAGGTTCAGCTCAGAGTCTTGAGATTGAGCCCCACATAGAGCTCCATGTTCAGTGTGGAGTCTGCTAAAGTTTCTCTTTCCCTCTTCTTCTACCCCATCCACCCCTTAAAACAAATATTAAATCTTGAAACAAAAAGGCTCAACAACACCAAAACCAACATGAACTAATTGACATTTACAGAACACTCCACTAAACAACAACAGAACACACAATCTTTTTAAGCAGCCACAGTGGGTATATATATATATACACACACACACATATATATATACAAATTAACTGTATCCTGGGCCATAAATTTTCAAATTTGGCAAAACATGTGAACAGATATTTTACTGAAAAGCATATACTTATAACAAATAAACACCTGAAAAGATGTTTGACACCACTAGCCATTAGGGAAATGCAAACTAAATGAGATATCACTACACCCCTATGAGAATAGATTAATTAAAAAAATAACAACAAGGGATCCCTGGGTGGCTCAGCGGTTGAGCACCTGCCTTTGGCCCAGGGCCTGATCCTGGAGACCCGGGATCAAGTCCCACATTGGGCTCCCTGCATGGAGCCTGCTTCTCCCTCTGCCTGTGTCTCTGCCTGTGTCTCTGCCTCTCTCTCTCTCTCTCTCTCTCTCTCTCTCTCTGTGTGTGTGTGTGTCTCATAAATCAATAAATAAAATCTTTTTAAAAATAACAACAATACCATAGTTAGCATACAAAGAACTGGATCTCATACATTCCTGGTGGAAATAGTTTGATAATTTCTTAAAAACTAAACATGCACTTGCCATATGACTCAACAATTGCACTCCTGGGCATTATCCCAAGAAATGAAATCTCCTGTCCACACAAAAACTTGTATCAATTGTTCATAGATGTTTTATTTGTAATACCCCAAAACTTGAAAGAAAAAATATCCCTCAATAGATAGTTAACAAGATGAATGGATGAATAGCATATCCATACCATAGAATATTATTCATCAGTGAAAGGAATGATACATTCAACAACTTTGATGGGTATCAAAGGCATTATGAGAAGTGAAAAAAAAAGCCAGTCACAATTACATGTTATAATTCCATTCACATAACATTCTTTAAATGACAAAACTATGGAGATGGAGATTAGATTAGTGATTATCAGGAGTTCAGGATTGGGTAGAGGGGACAGCGGCATGTGACTATACAGGGGTAGCAAGCTGAAGATCTTTGAGGGTATGCAATAGTTTTGTATTTTCTTTTTTTTTTTTTTGTGGTGGTGGTTACATGAACCTACATGTGTTAAGATGGCATAGAACTATGTAAAACTTCATACCAATGTAAAATACCTGGTTTTGATATTGTATTATAATTATGTAAGATGTATACCATCAGGGGAACCGAATGAAGAGGTTCCGTGGAACCTCTATGTACTACATTTGCAACTTCTTGTGAATCTATAATTATTTCGAAATTAAAATGTTCAAAAGAAGAAACAAACAAAAACAGGGAAATTGCTTACTTCGTTAGCCATACAGGATTGATTAAATAAAGCCATGGACCATCTTTTAAAAATCACTAAAAGGATGTTGCAAAATAATACTTAATTCTTGCTGTGAAAGATATTTCACACTATATCATTTAATGAAAAAAAAAACAAAACATTCAATATAATCCCTTTTTAAAGAGAATGTGTTGTGCATAGAAAAGATATCAGCACAGACCCTGTGTGGTAAGATTATGGTTGACATTTATTTTCACAATAAGTATAATCACCATCTGTCACCGTACAATGTTATTACAATATTTTTGACTATATTCCCT